TGGTTATACTCCAACAGCAGTGTGTCGCAGTGAGCTTGACGGAGAGTTGCAGACATTTTTGATTTATGCTCAATTCGCTGTAGGTCAGGATATAGCCAAGGCGGTGAGAAAATTGGGCCAGCAGTGGGACATGAGGGCCAAAAAGAGCAGGGATCCAGGTGGAAAAAGGTTCCCAGCGTTCTCACGCACCTCGCTCTTCTAGCTGGTCCAACTTAACAAGTTGTTTCCTGCAATGGCGGTCAGACAACAAAACAAGCCGGCCTCCTGTCTGCAGTCACCTGCAACTTGGGAGACGTGCAGCAGAGTGTCTGAGGAGGGGGCAGGGACATCTTTTTGTTCATTGCGACACTCTATGCAGACAACCTGGTTTGGAAGTATAAATTAGGCCCCGTCCACACGAAGCCAAACCCTGGCCTAAACGCACAAATTCTTCACCAAACCAGCCTCTCATCCACACGAAGCCGGCGTTTCGGGGGTCTGTAAACGATCTTTTTTTTATTCAGCCTTCAGAGTGGGAAGATTTTGAAACGCCGTTTTCGCTTTTCCATCTTTAAGCTGTAAACGCTTTTTTTTTTTTCTTACACGCATGCGTCATAGCGTCGCCTCTAAACACGCATGCGCGACACAGTATCACAACAACAATGGCGCCGTACTGTGTTGAATGGTTGCTGCTCATGCTACTCACCCTGCTGTCGGGCTTACAACAGAATCTTCTTCTGGAATATCTCCAGGAAGAACAGAGCAATATCGACCACATAGTTCAGCACCTGAATTTGACTGAACCACGAAAATGGACCCGCAGGGCAACCATGTATAAATATTAGTGCACATGCCCAACATTTCGTCGCCTATTTTTGCTTTGGCACCACAGCGCCACTTACAGGCCTGGCATACATTTTGCAGCGTTTTCATGCATTCGTGTGGACGATCACATTTATTTTACGTCTCCATCTTTACGACAAACGTTCTGGAAAATATTAGCGTTTCGTGTTCGTTTTGACTTCGTGTGGACGGGACCTAAGCCTTAGTCCTCCAGGAAGAGCTTACCTTGACCACAACCCAGGGTGGATTTAGGAATTTTGGGGACCTAGGCAAAGACAGGCAGGGGGCCCTCTGAATTAACAAGACAACCAGGGTTCCCGCGGGTCCTTAAAAAGTCTTAAAAGGCATTGAATTCTTCAAAATAAAACTAAGGCCTTAATTGGTATTAAAATGTCTTAAATCAGTCTTTCGTAGGTCTTAATTATTAAAACATCATTAAATAGGATTATTTTCATTACGATTTATTTTTGTAATCTAAATAAAACATTAAAATTGCTAATTTTTAATTTTTTTTAATAGTGGCTCGCCATTATTGGTTCCGTCCCGATAGCGGAACCAGTAAAGCGTTGTTGCGGTCTGGACATTTGGGAGATGCACCATTAACTTTTTGTCTGGAAAATCTGAGCAAGTGTAAATGTAACCAAAATAGTCTCCAGCCAAGAGTTTCCTCCATGGCTAAAACCAGGGAACATACATGAAGCTCAGTGGATTTAGTGCAAGAAGTCATTCAAGCTCAGAACGATGGGAATTAAGGCAGTGGAGTCGTACATGCGAAGCACGAAACACAAAGCGTCAAAATGGAGTTACAGAGAAACAGCCGGTATTTCTCAGTTTAGTTCCACCCTTGTCTCTGCAACGCCTCCACTTATCACCAAATCAAACCTACTAAGAAAACCATACAAAGAAAAATAGCTGCTAAAAAGACTTAGCACTGGTTATGTTGGGGCTTTAAAACTCATTTGTTTTGTTCCCTGCTAAAACAAAGTTTGTGAATTCAGTTAAATAATTGTTCAAATATATCTGTCATTTGTGTGTTTTTAGCTTTCTTCCTGTATGGGAAGCTTTTCAACATTTGAAACATTAGTGCAGTGGTTTATGTTAAAATAAACCTTTGGGTTAAGTTGGAGCAAGCAGGTTTTTCTTTTTTTTTTTGTTAATTTGGTCTTAAATTTTAATTTCAAGTGGCATTAAAAAGTCTTGAATTTAACTTGCCTTATGCTGTACGACCCCTGACAACACATAAATCAGACCCATTATCTAGCTAGATAAATGTTAATAGAATAGACATCCATTATCTGTTCTAGGTTGTGTCCCTCTCTTCTTGTCCCTTTTCTTCTTGTTTTCCTCTCTATGTTTTGTACTCAGCTGACTTTTCATGCTGTCTCTAAAGGAATGAAAGATTTTTTCCAAGCACTAAGCTCACTTAGCTGATTGCTCCTTCCTGTGTTTCCAAAAAGGCCAAAGTAAATAACCCAGTCCTTCTTTTCACTGTAGACAAGCCATGATCTGCTTATCTGTTCTCCATTTTTCATTTGGATGAAATAATAGCTGCATGAATCATGACAGCAGACAAGATAGAGGAGAGCAGGAGGCGGGGTTACCAATCTACTCGCTCTGGAGAGCAGAGTTCGCTGCTTTTAGATGTTGTCTCCAATAGCAGAAAAAAGTCTCTAGATTTGGCGCTAGGAGCTTTTTAGAAATCAAAGTGCTAGAGGGGTCTGAAAAGTGGCTAAATACAGGTGCTGGTCATAAAATTAGAATATCATGAAAAAGTAGATTGATTTCAGTAATTCCATTTAAAAAGTGAAACTTGTATATTATATTCATACATTACATACAAACTCATATATTTCAGATGTTTATTTTGTTTAATTTTGATGATTACAAATGACAACAAATGAAAATCTCAAATTCATCATATCAGAAAATTAGAATATTGTGAAAAGGTTCAAAATTGATGGCCCCTGGTGCCACACTCTAATCAGCTAATTAACTCAAACCACCTGCAAAAGCCTTTAAATGGTCTACACAATCATGGGGAAGACTGCTGACTTGACAGTTGTCCAAAAGACGACCATCGACACCTTGCACAAGGAGGGCAAGACACAAAAGGTCATCGCTAAAGAGGCTGGCTGTTCACAGAGCTCAGTGTCCAAGCACATTAATAGAGAGGCGAAGGGAAGGAAAAGATGTGGTCGAAAAAAGTGTACAAGCAAGAGAGATAACCGCACCCTGGAGAGGATTGTGAAACAAAACCCATTCAAAAATGTGGGGGAGATTCACAAAGAGTGGACTGCAGCTGGAGTGAGTGCTTCAAGAACCACCACACACAGACGTATGAAAGACATGGGTTTCTGCTGTCGCATTCCTTGTGTCAAGCCACTCTTGAACCACAGACAGCGTCAGAAGCGTCTTGCCTGGGCTAAAGAGAAACAGGACTGGACTGCTGGTGAGTGGTCCAAAGTCATGTTCTCTGATGAAAGTAAATTTTGCATTTCCTTTGGAAATCAAGGTCCCAGAGTCTGGAGGAAAAGAAGAGAGGCACTTCATCCACGTTGCTTGAAGTCCAGTGTAAAGTTTCCACAGTCAGTGATGGTTTGGGGTGCCATGTCATCTGCTGGTGTTGGTCCATTGTGTTTTCTGAGGTCCAGGGTCAACGCAGCCACATACCAGGAAGTTTTAGAGCACTTCATGCTTCCTGCAGCTGACCAACTTTTTGGAGATGCAGATTTCATTTTCCAACAGGACTTGGCACCTGCACACAGTGCCAAAGCTACCAGTACCTGGTTGAAGGACCATGGTATCCCTGTTCTTAATTGGCCAGCAAACTCTCCTGACCTTAACCCCATAGAAAATCTATGGGGTATTGTGAAGAAGAAGATGCAATACACCAGACCCAACAATTCAGAAGAGCTAAAAGCCACTATTAGAGCAACCTGGGCTATCATAACACCTGAGCAGTGCCACAGACTGATCGACTCCATGCCACGCCGCATTGCTGCAGTAATACAGGCCAAAGGAGGCCCAACTAAATACTGAGTGCTGTACATGCTCATACTTTTCATGTTCATACTTTTCAGTTGGCCAACATTTCTATAAATCCTTTGTTTTTATTGGTCTTCAGTAATATTCTAATTTTCTGATATGATGAATTTGAGATTTTCATTTGTTGTCATTTGTAATCATCAAAATTAAACAAAATAAACATCTGAAATATATGAGTTTGTATGTAATGTATGAATATAATATACAAGTTTCACTTTTTAAATGGAATTACTGAAATCAATCTACTTTTTCATGATATTCTAATTTTATGACCAGCACCTGTATAGCGACTAAAGCGCTAAGTTGGCAACACTGCTCTTTGCATGGTTTGTTTTCAAATGGTTTGCTGCTGTCTGTTTGGACCTTTCTGAACATGTGCAGCAAATGGACTGATCCAATATGGTGGACACTGAGGGGGGGCTGAGACACACTTAATATTATCAGCGTTCTGATGGCATTTCAGTGAAAAGATTTTCATCAAAAACATGATTAATTTTCACAAATAAGGAATAGTCGTATTAATTTGGAATGTAAACGAAGTTTTAAGGGGTCCTCAGGAAGTCGGGGCCCTTGGAAACTGCCTCCCCCCCCCGTCACAGCTCTTGTACCTTGACTGGGTGTGTGTTGCATGATTCTATAAGAGCTTTAGCACAGATTCTGGGACCTCTTCTCCAATTTTTATCTTGTTTTAATGTGGATCCTCTACTGGAATGAAAGGACTGCAGGAAAAAAAAAGTCCAAGTAAGCTAAAGGTGCAAAAACTATTACAGTACGTAGGGACTTTAAACCATGCTAAAACAGCCCTACGAAATGATAAAGTCAGTAGTATTGGAAACTTTTCCAGGGTTTGGTTTCAGGGTCCTGAATCCTCATTAGTCCACTCCAGAGAGCGGACTGTGGTACGATGGAAGCGCATTAAAAAGGCCTGATGTCAAAACGTCAGGCATCCAAGTCAGTAGAAGAAGCTGAAGACATTTCAATGTGTTCCTGATGCCGTCTCTGGTTCTGAATGCTCGGTGCTCTAGAAGAGGTTGAAACGTCTTCAGGAATAACCAGAAGTCTAGAATGGAACTGATTCAGTTATTCTCATTTTTCCCTCCCTAACATTTCACCCCATCATATCTGTCTCTCAGCTCCCAGCCCCACCACCGCCATCAACTACCTGGCAACGAAGTGCGTGGATACAACCAAGAACAAACAAGAATCCAAGTGGTTCATGCCTTGGGGTCCCAACCACTGTCAAAAGATCTCCACGTTTGAAGAGGCCGTGGCCAAAAGGATCGAAGCGAACAACATCGTGTTCGCCGTGCACATTCCCATGCAGGGCAAAGAGATGAGCCCCTGGTTCCAGTTCATGTTGGTCATCCTACAGTTTGACATCTTATTTAAGATGCACAACCAGATTGGTAAGAAGCAAAGCAGCTTCAGACTTTCAGAAACATGATAAACGATAATATTAAACACCTTTAGAGGAAAAACTGGGAAAGATACTTTTAGTAGAAAACTTTAGAAGCGCTCCAGCCTAAGATACTGATATTTATTGGAAGAAAAATATGAGCTTTGATATGAAGCATGAAGTGTTTACGTAAAATGCAGCCTGTGGCAGTCCTGATAGGCTGCGTTCACACAGCAGCCTGAAGTGACCCATTATTTTTTATTTATTTTTTATTTTTTTGCCCATATGCAACCCCCAAGGGTGTAACTTTGTGATGAAAGTTGGTGGGTGGGGGCTACAGTTACTCCTCCCAAACGCTTTCAGTAGGTTTCAAAAATTAGCTCAGACATATATTTATCGAATGCTTTTCAGGAGTTTATGTTAAGGATTTTTACTACTTGCCCGAAGGGCAAGTGCCTTTCACATTTCATTTGCCCAGAAACAATTTTTACTTGCCCAGTATAATGTTTGATAAATATTGGGGATGCACGATATAATCGGCCCCCTATCGGTATCGGCCTTAAAACCGAATATCGGACATCGGCCACCCCACCGATATTTGACCCGATATTTGATCAGCTTCTGAGTTTCTAAAGTCTAAAAAAAAAAAAAAAAAAAAAATACTACTTCTTCTTCCTCAAAAACTTCTTTTTTACAGACTTATTGATCCATTAAAATATCCCAATATCTTCATATGCTGATATATTGTCATTTAAAAACACCATATCAATCTCTTTTACTAATGAAATATTGCTATATGTCATCGTTATGCTACGAAATCCCCCAAAAATTCACCAAATGTTGCCATATTTTTATATGTTGATATATTGACGCGGTATCGATCTATTTTACTAACAAAATCTCACAAGAATTTGCAAAATATCACGAGAGTTTGTAACAGAACGATGAAATTTCACCAGATTTTGAAATTAAAATAGATCGATACCGCGTTTTTAAAAATCTATTTGATATCAGCATATGAAAATATATTTGAGTATATTATTTTTCAATGTGTCAGAAATGGATAACAAAACTGCTATTTTCAATGACTACTTATTTTTGTCCAGCTTTAACATCGGTATCGATATCGGTTATCGGCTACATGAGTTTTAAAATATCGGCATATCGGCCAAAATCCCAATATCGTGCATCCCCAATATTTATCAAACATTATACTGGGCAAGTAAAAATAGTTTCTGGGCAAATGAAATGTGAAAGGCACTTGCCCTTCGGGCAAGTAGTAAAAATCCTTAACATAAACTCCTGAAAAGCATTCGATAAATAAACCGATGTTAAAGTTGGACAAAAATAAGTAGTCATTGAAAATAGCAGTTTTTGTTATCCATTTCTGACACTTGGAAAAATAATATACTCAAATATATTTTCATATGCTGATATCAAATTAATTTTTAAAAACGCGGTATCGATCTATTTTACTTTCAAAATCTCGTGAAATTTCATCGTTCTGTTACAAACTCTCGTGATATTTTGCAAATTCTTGTGAGATTTTGTTAGTAAAATAGATCGATACCGCGTCAATATATTAACATATAAAATATGGCAAAATATAGTTCTTAATATTCATTTTTGTATATATATCAATGAAACATGTTACAGCATAAACTGTAACTGTTAACAGGATGAATAAATGTTTTCTCAACGGTTTCTTTGATGCGCTGAAACGCTGAGTTTTGTTTTCTGGATTAAGTTTAACAGGATGCACGGTGGTGTGTGTCGTTGCAACGACTTGATGCAATCGTTTCACCATCTGCGTTCGTTATTGACAAAACCATACGATTGTTCAACATAAAAAAAAAAAAAAAAAAAAAAAAAAAAAAAAAAGATGCAGCTTGTCAAGCGGCTGAATTTATTTTTTACAAATGTCCATTTTATGAATAAAAAGAAGAATGGACCCATGTCAAGGATTTTTACCACTTGCCTTTGGGCAAGTGACTTTCACATTTTATTTGCCCAGAAACAATTTTTACTTACCCAGTATAATGTTTGATAAATATAGTTCCTAATATTCATTTTTGTATATATATCAATGAAACATGTTTGTTTCTTAAATGTTTTTTGTAATTCAGTATTTTTTAAGTTTTCAGGTTCCTGGTGTGTATCTGCATGCGTCAGATAATGAACTCCAGCCTACATTACCGTGTTAACATGCTTTTCAATCCTTCCTGCACATTCTTTTCAAACTAAACTTTGCTTTAAACTGGAAAAATATAAATTAAAGTTAAAAATCTAAAAAAAACTTGACAGGATAAAAACTTAAGATAAATCACAAGACAGAAGTCAATGTCACGAATGAATAACTTTTATTTTAGAGTCACGGTATGTTTATAGAAGATAATACTATTAATATAATGTGACTTTTCTAGAGAATCATTATACATAGTTATTTTTTTCAGGGTTTCCACAGTCTGACATCATTTCAGAATTCCCTGACTTTTAACTAACCTAGGATTAGTTTTCCCTGACAAAATAAATGCAGCAACAAGACAATAATAATAACATAACAGGTCACCAATCTAACATGTTTAGCTATATAACATCGTTTTGGTAACTACATCAAAATGTACGGTGGCTGAGAAGTGCAAAACACATTTACAATTCAAAAACACATTAACAAATAAAAAACAAAATAACATTTGAAGAAACAAAAATTATATTTTACGAAACAAATGTTTCTTAAAATATAATTTAAAATATAATAATAGATGTTGAGCTTTGCATCAGTGATGATGATGGTCTTAGGAATAGTCACCCTGGTAAAATATTCAGGAAAAAGTGTTGCAGCTCCTGTAAACACAGAGCAGAAGGTTAGTCTGGTCCCAAAGATCATTTACTTCTTCACATTCTTGGCCACGTTTCAGTGGAAATGTGTCAGGAGCCTGGCTTGTTTACAGCCTGGCCTGTCGACAAACAAATTAGTGATTCAGACCAATCCTGCTGCCAGATGCTGCAGACTCCATTCTTATTTATCTTTAGACCTTTATTTAGAAAAACCGTCTTTCATTTGTTGGCACATAAAACACTAAACAATACAAGACCTGACAGGACATGATGTCACAATTAGCAGTGGCGCCTCCAGAAATGTTTCATTAGGGGGCCAGATGGGGCCACTAAAAATCTTGGGGTGGCCACTGAAACTAAAAGCCCTAATTTCAGGATCTGAATCTATTGTGTTAAACCTCAGAAAGACTTCAGTAAAACTCATATCTTGCTTTATTGTGATTCCTTTTTTTTTATTTTTTTATGTTACGTCGCTTGCTGTGCATAACGGGATGAAATGCTAAACTGATGCTACTACAATTTACCCATTTCGTGGCCAACCCCTGGTAGCCTGACGTAGTCCTACTCAATTCTAGTCAGAATCTGAGTCTGATGCTGCTCCATAGAGCTGTGATTATGGGGCGTGTTTCAAACTAACCAGGAAAAAAAATGCCTCTGCACTCAATTGGATAGACCTACAACCAATAAGAGCAACGGAGCGCGTGACGTATGTTAAGCGACGCATAGTTGTTGTCCACAAAAATCAAAGCGTGCAGTTGCACGCCTAGAATAAGAAGATGAGACTTGATCGCGTTTCTCTGTTCCTCTTTTAAAATTTATTTGCTGTCGTTATCTTCTAGAACAGACCTAATAGCAGAATCTACTCACCTCAACTCTCCAGCGGCAGCCATTGTTGTTGTCACCCAAGCGCGCTTTGGTGACGTGGTTGATTACGTTACTGTTGATCATCTGTCCATCATCGTATAAAGCCCGCCCTGACAATTTGATTGGCCCGCCAGATATTGTGCTAGCATACTCGCGCTACTACTGAGCAATGCCAGACCGAACTTCCCGACCTCAAACGTTGTGGGCGGGACTAAGTTCGGAATGGCGCCCAGGCTAACACCCTGGTGGAGCCACTAACAATCAGGTGTGCGAGTTGTTGATTATTTACGGAAGCCGAGAGCGGTCGTATTCAACTTATTTTTTTTCCTTTGCCTTCTCAAGATAATGACGTAACTATCTCGTTATTACGTTAAACCATTAATTGTTTTCTCGCGATAAGGAGATAATTATCTCGTTATGACAAGATTGGATGCCTCGCAACGCGAAGACACAGACATCCATCCCCGTGAACACTGGGACGGAACTCAATGGGAAAGGAAAGGATTCTGATTTCAACCGTTGCGTATATTAGCTGCGACATATGAACCAAGATGCTATGACCGAAAAAATTTGATTGACAGATGACCGTTGATATATGATTGGCCGAATTTAGGTGTTCAGGCTGACATAGAACTAACTGGCCTGTAGAAGATAACAAGAAAAGAAAGCAAATTTTTAAAACAGGATTTTTTTTTTTTTTTTTTTTTTTTTTTTATAGAAATTTTCAAAATTGTGGGACAATATCATCTGATAAAGAATACATTTATATAAATGTTTAAGCCAGAATGAGTTGACATTTAAATATAATTTCCTTACGGCATTAAAACAGAAGAAAACTTAAAGTGCAGTTTCTTTCATCGTACGACTTTAAGATGTTTTAAGTTAGAAGAAATTTTAATCCTTTAAACCATTACTCGACAATAAAGTCGATTACTTCTCATGTCGAATTATTGAAATATTAAATAAGGAAAATAAAAAAGATCAATTGTTTGTACTGATTAAGGTGAAGAGCTAGCCTCGTGAGACCATCCTGATTTCGCAGATCGCAGATCAGTCTGGAGACTCTCCGTTAAAGAAAATTTGGAGCCGTTCACCAAACGAACGTCCAATCAGCGTTGGCTTTGAGGCGGGTTGAGGTGTGACGCAACGAGAAGCGCGACAGTTTAGTCTAAAGAACATGGCGGCTTCAGCCGATGAAACTAGCGTTCGCGTGGCTATCGAGCAAGTTTTATCGGAATTACAGAGTATTTCTTCACTGAAAGAAGAGCAAAACACTGCTCTGGAGGAAAAGATGTTTTTGCTCTTCTCCCGACTGGTTTCGGCAAGAGTAGCCTGGCTTGTGGTTGTGTTTTCGCCGTCGC